GCTCTCTCCCACGCTCTCTCCCACGCTCTCTCCCACGCTCTCTCCCACGCTCTCTCTCTCTCTCTCTCTCTCTCTCTCTCCCTCTCTCGCTTGCTCGCTCTGATCGTCTGTCGTCGCCTCGAGTCTCGCCCGCCCGCTGCCTCCCCTTTCTTGCTTGCACTGCCCGCCAGACGACGTCGAGCTGAAGTAGCAGAACGAGGTTCGTGACTGCAGCCTCCCTGAAATGACCCACGCTGTCTAGGCCGCGCGCTCACGATGACACCCGATGCCGAGCAACCTGCCAGCCACAGCCCCCCGGGCACTCGCACCGTCTCGCCGCGGCGGAAAAGAGAGAAAAAAAAAAGAAAAAGAAAAAAGGCCCCGTATTTCGAGGCCAAAAAGATTTCGACAACCACAGGATTCGAACCTGTGCAGGCAGAGCCTATGAGTTTACCCCCGAAACGCGGGATCGAATGGGAAAATTTTCTAGACTCACTCCTTGACCACTCGGACAGATTGTCCCGTCATGTCAAGCGCCCAAAATATAGCATTCATTAAAGCTCAAATCACAAAGAGTGAGGCGCGCCTCGGTCGGCGGGGCCAGGCCAGGCCAGGCCAGGCGGGGGGGTCGCGACGGAGCCTGCCTCCACCGGCGGCGAGAGCGGCAACAAACAGCGGCCGGGACCAACACCGCTGCCTGCCGACGCCGACCACCACCTGGCGTTGTCACCGCGATCCGCTCGACCCGCAACGCATCCCCTCTGTGTCACGGCCACCATCACCACCACCACTGCAACGCCAACTGCTGCCAGCACAACCTCTTACCATGGCACACCGGGCATCGATGCTACCGCCGCAGCACGGGCGGCAATCGCTGTACCCGGGCGCGTCCGTCATGGGTGGACCCGGCGGTGGGGGAGGAGCGAGTTCGCAGGCCAAGCTACAGGCCAAGCAGGCTGAGCTGGAGGGGCTCCGGGCGCTGCGCGACCTCTCTGCGCGCATGGCGAGGGAGATGGAGAGGCTGGCCGACCAGACCGATACGCTCGTCGAGGGCGGCGATGGTGAGTCCCCGGCAGCACGGCGAGGCGATGCCGTGTGCATGTGCTGATCGAATCCTTGTGGTCTTGTCTGGTGTACGTCGCCTCGGACCAGCTGTGGCCGGCGTCATGTCGCAGTGGGAGGGCGTCTTCCGGGCCATCCAGATCGCAAGAGGTACGTTGACCCCCGCGGCGCCGGACCCCCGCTTTCATCGCCCTGGAGGTCCCGCCCCCAACCAGCTGACAACGACGATGCCCTTCGCACCGCGGAACAGCATCCACATCCCTCGTGTCTCCGCCCCTGCAGTACCACAACCCGGGCATGGTCCTCGACACGGGCGACGACGATACGGCATCCAACCACTCGGACCGCGGCGGCGACGGACGCGACAACGACGACGACGACGACGGCGGCGACGAGCGGGGCGCACCGCCGGCCGGGAAGAGGGTGCTCCTCGATACCATCGTTCGGCTGCCCATCGACCTCGACGGCGAGGGCGCCGCGGACCAGTCCAACGACGCCGCCGAGCTCGACGCCGACCAGAGCGCCGCGCCGCCGCAGACGTCCTCGGCAACCTAACCCGCCCGCCCGGTACACGCGGCTGGACGTCAGTCGGCCCATCTGGGATGGCCGGCCTCCGTCGCTGTTCACCCTTTTGCTCTCTCTCCGCGCGGCTCGGCTTGTCGCCTGTTCCGATGACCTGTAATACCACCTGGACCCTCCCTACCTTTTGTCCCAACATCGGCTCGTCACACGGGCTGCGAAATTCCGGTGCGGACCGGGACACTTCTAGGGCGGTACGACGATGACTAGGATACAAGATGCGTGTTGGCGATCCACCTCGCAAGGGGCCTGCGCGGCGTCGGATGCTGGAGAACTGGAGAATGGGGACTAGGCAGGGATGGATGGGGGTAGCGTGGAACGTAAGGTAGACGGGGAGCGGGTAGCCGATGAGAGTCGATAGCGAGGTCGAGGTCGAGGCCGAGTTCGAGGGGGAGCGACGCTGTCCCCGCACCGCCTAGGCTGCCGAGGCGAGGCTCTTCTTTGCAGCGCCGCCGCCAGAGGTCGCCCAGGCGCGCCCGTTGATGGCGCCGCCCATGGCCGAGAGGCCCGGTGGGCCGCCGCCGGCCAGACCCTCGCGCAGCAGGCCGCGCAGGTTGCGCATCCTCTTGGCCCGCGACGTGTAGCACCCGGCAAAGGTGCGCGTCGCGAGGGGCAGCGGCGTGGTGCGGTCCTTTGTCGCCGCCGTGGCAATGGCGCCGATGATGTCGAACAGCTCCTGGTCCACCTGCGCCTCGTCGGCGCCAATGTCGTGCATGTCCATGTCGTCGTCCTCGATGAGCTTGACGGCGTGCGTCGCACCGTGCGCGTCCTTGCCCTCTGCGGCGCGGCCGCCCGACTTTTTGCCGCCGCCGCCGCCTCCTGCACCGGCTCCATCCTTGTCGGCCTTGGAGCTGGCCTTCTTCTTCTTTTCCTTGGGGGGTGCGGCGGCGGCGGCGGCCTTGGCGGCCAGCGCCTTTTCCTTTTCCTCTTGCTTGGCGGCGAAGCTCGGGTTGGTCGCCACCTGCCACTCGAACAGGAGCTGGTCGTAGGGCGCGGATCGGCCCTCGACGGCTCGCTTGGCGCCCATGCTGTGCGACTTGCAGGTAAGCGAGCGCGAGCAGGGAAGCCCCTTGTCGTTGATGACGCCGCACTGCTTGTCGACGTCGACCGGGCCTGCCGATCGCCAAAGTGGCCGTCGCCCGAGAGGAAAGGAGAGGGACACGAAGGGTTAGGGGCGCGAACGCTGAGCCTGGGCACTCGGATCGACGCTGGGCTGAGTTGAGGGCCTGGCGCGACGACTCACCTTTATTCTTGCGGCCGCCCTTCTTCTTTTCCTTTTTGCGCTTGAGCTCCTTGAGCTCGAGCCTGGCCTGTCGACGAGCTTCTGCCTCTGCCTTTTTCGTCTTCTTGGTCGGCCGCTCGACGTCCACATCCATGGCCGAGTCATTGTCGTCTGCGTTGGACAGAGAGGCAGGCAGCGATGCAGGTCAGTGAGCAGGGTCAAGGGGAGGTCGGCCGCAGTGCTGATTGAGGGGCACGGGATTGGACTCACCTGCCATCAGCCTGCGCTTCTTGAGGTCGCCCTCGAGGATGCTGGGCGACGCCCGCCCCTCTGCTATGTCCCTGGCCAGCCGGCAGTTTTCTGATCACATACAGATGACGAGGGACAAGCGTACGAGGACGAGAAGGAGGCGGAGGGCATGGCGCCGCATGACGCATGCGATGAGCTGACCAGGCGCGGGACGAAGGGAGAGCAAGTTCTAGCTCTGCCTGGCGGCGGCCCTTGAGCCGTTACTCACGCTGATGGAAGCCGAGTGCCTCGCGGAGCACCGTCTTGGCACAGTCGGGGCATGCGACCAGGTCGACCTCGTCGTCGAGCGGGTAGGGGCCGAAGTCGGTGATGGCCGTGTCATCGTGGTGCCAAAGCGGGGAGACCAGGCTGGTCCCCATGGGCGATCCAGCATCTAGGACGGAGACGATGGGATGGGCTCAGCAGAGCGAGTTGCAGCGTCAACGTGGGCTGCAGCACGGAGGGGACGGTGCAGCAGCGCGCGGCTCACCCGACTTTGTGGCTTCCTCGATCTGTGCCCAGGTGGGGCCAGGGTGAGCGGGAGCGCTCATGGCGAAAGAGGTATGGAGGGATTGGCCGAGCGACGGCTGCCTACGACTGACACAGGATCGAGGCCCGAGACAGCATAGGCAGGCGTCGGTCGAGCGGCAGGCTGAGCCGGCTACGGGATGGGTGGGCTCGCAGCAGGCGACGGGCGTCGCCCAGAGTGGCCTGGTTCGATTCGAGGACGCAGAGTGGGGACTAGACTGGCTATGGCGGCTGATCCGGGCGGACGGGCCGAGAGGGACCTAGATGGATCGGATGATGGCCCGAAGCCGAAGGGAAAGGAGAGGTTAGAATGGGGATACAGTTGGTGATGGTGGTGGCCTGGACCGTCCTGGCTGGGCCGAGGTAGCTAGGATGTCCAATCGGGCTCCCCCGAGGCGGCGCCTGGCCCCGACGCCGCAAGTTTTGGGGCGGGAAACGGGCGCCATCGGGAAGCCGCCGTCCGATGTCGCGTCCCCGGCTGGATTGCCTCCACATGGTTGCGCTGCTGAGGTTGGCGCGGGCCTGTCTGTCCCCCCCTACGTTGGCCGCTTTCCCCCCTTCATCATCGACCACCATCGTCCTCCTCGCCGCCCTCACAAGCCGTCGTCCTGCATCGCCATGTCCTAGTCAGCACCACGTACCAGCGCCGCAACACGGCCACCTAGGCTGACTCGGCTGCACCAATCCCTCCCTCCTCTCTGCCCTCCTCGGCCTCCTCGGCCTCCTTGCCCTCCTTGCCCTCCTTGCCCTCCTTGCCCTCCTTGCCCTCCCTGCTCTCCCGCGTCCGCCGCTTGTCCATCATGCGCATCGTCGTGTGGAACATCAATGGCCTGCGCACCCTCCGCGGATACCAGCCCTGGTACCAGCTCAAAGACTGGCAGTCCTGCCTCGAGCACCTCGACGCCGACATCGCCTGCTTCCAGGAGACAAAAATGACGCGCAAGCAGCTCCAGGAGTGGATGTGCATCCTCCCCTCCTACCACGCCTTCTTCAACTTCCACCCAACAAAGGGCTACAGCGGCACCGTCACCTACGTCAAAAAGGACATCTGCATCCCGCTCAAGGCAGAGCAGGGTATCACAGGCAGGCTCGTCAACACCGACAACCCGGCCGAGGCCATCGGCGCCTACCCGCGCGACGTCCGCGACGACGTCGAGCCCGCTCTCTGGAACGCCCTCGACGCAGAGGGAAGGGCCGTCGTACTCGACTGCGGCCTATTTGTCCTCTTCAATCTCTACGCACCAAACGAGACCGGACCGGAGCGCCTCGAGTACAAGATGAGCTACTACCACTGCCTCGAGGAGAGGGCCAACCGCCTCATCCAGGAAGGCAGGCAGGTCATGATCGTTGGAGACATGAACATCATCCGCGACCGCATCGACCACTGCGACCCGGAGCAGTCGCTCAGGGAGCACGGATGGACCCACTTCAAGCAGCACCCCGCAAGGACGTGGTACGACGCCTTCCTCGCGCCAAAGGGCAAGTTTCACGACGTCGGTCGCCTCTACCACCCGACCCGCGCAAAGATGTTTACGTGAGTCCCTCGGCCGAGCGGCCCATGCACTGTGCGCCGGGAGTCTTATCACTCGTGCTGAACCTGCCGGTGGCGCAATCTCCTGCATCTCCTCCCCTCTAGCAACTGGAACACCCTGATCGACGCCCGCCCCGCAAACTACGGCGTTCGTCTCGACTACACGCTCGTCACCGAGGGGCTGCTGCCTTGGATCAAGGGGGCCGACATCCAGCCCGACATCTACGGCTCCGACCACTGCCCCATCTACCTCGACATGCACGACTCCAGGGAGATCGACGGCAGGACCGTCTACCTCAAGGACCTGATGCACGGCGGGTCGAGCCGGCCGCCGCCCCCGCTGGCTGCGTGCTTCTACGACGAGTTCTCGGGCAAGCAGAGGAAGCTGGCGTCATTTTTCTCGGCGGCCAAGAAGCCGCCACCAACCCCACCGCTGCCTGCTGCCACTGACAAGGCGGACGGCATGGCTAAAGAGGTGGGGGCCAGCGAAGCGAGCCCGCAGGCTGAGCCAAGGCCGGGAGCACCGGAGAACGGAGAGATTTCGCTGGCAGATGCTCTGTTTGCGCTTCAAGCGCCTGCAACCAGCGAAGGGCCGACGTCGGCGATGATCCCCGAAGAGGCGGCAGGAGTCGGAAGGGAAACGACGGCCGCCGCAGATCCACCAAAAGGCGTGGCACCATCGCCCAGCCCGCTCGCGACCAGTGCGCAGCAAAAGGCGAGGCTCAGCGTCAGCGCTTCGCCACCCAAGCGCAGCCCAGCGGCCTCTCAGCGGCCCTCGTCGTCGTCGACATCGTCATCGTCGTCGTTAAGAAAGACGTCTTCGAAAGTCCCTCCCAAAGGCCAGATGCGGTTGCAGGCGTTCTTCACCAAGCCATCTGCGCCACCGCCGTCGGCACCCCCAGCGCTCGCGGCTGATGCGGAGACATCGACGACGGTGACGACAGCACCCGAGGCCGAAGAGCAGCCATCGCAGACGTCGGTCTCGACCACGGGGCCCGATGCTGTGCATCAGGGCCGATCCCGCTCGTCGTCACCGGAACTGATCGAGTCGTTTGAAGAGGCCGATCCGAGCAGCCCTCAGAAACACGCGCGCACCGCCTCGTCGACCTCATCCAACGGCTCGGCCTCGACGCTGGCAACGTCCGCCGCTGCCGAACCTTCTGCGGCAGAGCGGGTCGAGGCGTCGATGGCGTGGGGCGCCATCTTTGCGCCGCTCCCGCCGCCGACGTGCCGGGTGCACGGCGAGACGGCCAAGGCGTGGAGGGTCAACAAGCCGGGCCCGAACCACGGACGCAAGTTCTGGCTGTGCTCGCGGCCCGTCGGACCCGGGTACGAGAAGAGCGGGAGGGCAAAGGGCGACGTCAACCCCGAGTACCGGTGCAACTTTTTCCAGTGGGACTCGGAGTGGAAGGGCGAGGCGTCCAAGAGGCGCCGGAGGGAGGAGCATGAGGCGTGCGAGGCTGCTGCGGGCGTTTCGTTTGCAGAGGTGGGGAAACAGAAGAGGGCCACAGCAGGTGGCGGCGGCAGGGGCGGAGCGGAGATGATTATTGGATCAGACGATGGCGCGCCGCACAAGCGGGTCAAGTCGTCCAAGTGACGCAGACGAGGTAAGGAGCGAGGACGAAATGGGTGGATGACGCGTCGTCAGATGTCCTCGACGCTCCACTTGGCCCTCGAGTTGCGGGTATAGTCGTTTGTGCGCTGGTGCCAGAGGAGATGGCCGGCAAAGGCAATCATTGCCGCGTTGTCGGTGCACAGTGCGAGGGGTGGGAAACTGAGCTGCACGTCGCGTCGGTCTATCCCATCGAGCGCGGTGCGGAGCCTGGGCGGGAGGCAAGGATATGTCTCATCAGCAGCAGCCGCAACAGCCACGACGAGGGATGGGCGGTGGTGGAGGCTGGACGCACCTGGTACGAAGGAATGCGTTGGCCGCCACGCCACCGCTGCAGACGACTGATTTGATCGAGAGCGGATCGACACCCATGTCGATGCGGGGCGGAACGCGTCTCGATGCCGCCCCCGTCGTCGCCGTCGTGGGGCGTAGTGCCATTGCGAGTTTGTCCTCGAGCTGTGCGCATGCTGCCGCCTGGAACGCCTGGGCGACTTGACGACGCTGCTCGTCGGTCATGGCCGAGGGACCACCTTGGTGCTGGACGTGGCGCGTCACGGCCGACTTGAGGCCCGAACTGCAACGGGAGCGCGGGAGGTGAAGGAGAGTCAGGACCGTCTTGCGTGGCTTGGTCCGAAGAGAGGAGATAGGGAAGAGAGCACCGGCCTACGTACTAGGAGAATGAAGTCTTGCCCTTTTGCGGCACGGGAAACGAGAGGGCGTCTGGCTGTGCGGCGTCGCTCGACTGTGCGCAGAAGCTCTCGAGGGCTGCGCCGGGTGCGTGCGCCCAGGGTATGGCGAGGTCGCGCGCCACCTTGTCGAAGGCGTCGCTGCGGACAAGGACACGGAGGATCGCGGGTCAGCACTAGCTCGCAAGTGGCGAGGGATCGTCGAGCAGGTTGGAAAAGGGAGTCGGGGACAGGGTGCTCACCCGATGGAGTCGTCGGTGGTGGTGGCGAGGATCTGAAACTCGGATACGCCTCTCGCTAGTACGAGGAGGGTGTGACCGCCCGAGACGAGGAGGGTGAGAAAGGGAAAGCGCGGCGGGATCTGCTCGGTGAGGAGCGGTGTGAGCGCGTGCGCCTGCATGTGGTGTACGTAGATGATGGGCTTGTCGAGCAGGGCGGCGAGCGTCTTTGCGGCGGTGAGGCCGACGCCGAGGCTGCTGTTCATTCCCGGACCCTGGGTTACGGCGACGGCATCGATGTCGGTGTGGGTGAGGTTGGCGTGGGCGAGTGCGGATGCGATGGTGGTGGGGATGTTGGAGTGGTGGTTGAGCGCGGCGACGAGCGGGTGGATGCCGTGGGTGTGCGAGTGGTCCTGGCGCGTGACGATGGACGAGAGGATGCGTTTGTCGGATGTGACGACCGAGGCGCACGAGTCGTCGCAGGAGCTGGTCCGGGGGGGCAAGGAAAGGACGCAGAGAGTGGGCATGAGTGAGATTTCTTGGAGCTGCCGTGGGCGGGCACAACCTGCTCACCTTTCGATGCCGAGGATGATGCGGGGCTTGGACGCGGAGGAGGAGGAGGAGGAGGGTGAGGCGGAGGAGGTGTAGGCGGCCTGAGCGAGGGAATGACGTTGTTGGAAGCGTCGAGCTTGGTGCCGTGTTGATGGCGGTATCCTCTGCTTGAGCATGCTGCGACGTGGCAGGGCGCTGAGAGGTCTATGTAGCGGCGACGACATGGTGGTGGGCAGAGGCAGCGCGAGAGAGGAAGCGAGTGTGGGCCATCGAGGTCGACGAGGAGTGCGAACAAGGCGAGCAGAGCTGTCACGGGCTGCCACGGCTGCTCGGACCCTTTTCCTTTTCTTTTTTGGTGGCCGCCACGCCTCCACACGCCCCCGGCCAACTTTTTGGGATCCGGTCCGAACGTCGGGCCGTCACTCGGAGACTTCCTCAGAGCTCGAGGGGCTGCCTAGTTCCCACCGCCACTGCCACCACCACCACCACCACCGACACCACCACCCTCGCCATGCCCAGTACACATCCGCACGTCGTCGTACTCGGAGGCGGAATCGCAGGCCTCACCGCAGCCCGCAACCTCGCAGCGCACGGCATCAACGTCACCCTTCTCGAGGCACGCAATCGCCTCGGCGGTCGCATCCACACCTCCCACTTCCACCACGGCGGCCACGATGGCGACCAAGGCTGCACTTCCCCTTCCCCGTCCACCGCCGCTACCACGTCCCGTCCCGTAGACCTCGGAGCCAGCTTCATCCACGGCATCGTCGGCAACCCGCTCATTGACCTGGCAAAAGAGGTAGGTCCCCTGTCCTCCTCGCAATCGATCGCGAGCGAGTCCTGCATCGATCCTCATCGTGCCCCCTTCTTCCTCCGCCTACCCAACAGGTCCCCCTGGCCATCGCACGTCCCAACGAGGCTTCCACGCGCTACCTTCTAGATCGATCCGGCGGCAAGTCCCTCGACCGCGACCTCGCACAGCGCATCGACTTTTTTTCCCACGCCACCACCTTCCAACGCCTCCAGCGCGCCGCACAGCACGGACACCGCACCCCGCTCCCGCAAGAGAGCATCTGGTCCGGCCTCGTAGACGCAAAGTCCTACCCTGACGTGTGGAAGGGCATCGACGACGCAGAGAAGGACTGCATCCTCAGCGTGTAAGCACCCTCCCGGCCCACCCCTTTCTCGCCTTGGAATCGCCTGAGAATTGACATGGCCTGCCTGCGTATATCCGCGTTCTTCATCGTGCAGCGCCTCGCTCTGGTCCGGCTGGACCGGCGCCCGCCTGTCGGACGTGTCGCTGAGGTGGTGGGGGTTCGAACAGGAATTCCCCGGCGAAGACGTCGTCGTCCAACCCGGCTACTCGCACCTCGTCGAGTGGTCTGCCGACAAGATCAGGCAGGCAGGCGGCCGGATCGTCACCCAGCGCCGCGTCGAGGCCGTCGAGCTCCTCTCTGATGGTGAGCTCGTCGGCACGCCTTCATCCTACCTCTAGCGACGGCGCGACTCGCATGCTGAACCCACAGCTGCCCCCCTTTGCTCTCGGCTCCGCTCCAGATCGAGTGCGGGTGACTGCCACCGACGTCAGCACCGCCTCGCAGCCGACGGTCGAGTACGAGGCGACGCACGTCATCACCGCGCTCCCGCTCGGCGTCATGCAACGTACACCGCCGCGCTTCGACCCTCCCCTCCCACCGCGGCGGACGGAAGCGTTGCAGCGACTCGGCATGGGCCTGCTCAACAAGATCGTGCTCTCCTACGACCGAGCCTGGTGGCTCAACGCCGACGACGGCGAGGCCGATGCGTGGCTGTTTCTCCTTCCCTCGGACTTTGGCTCGCACGACGCTGCGACCACGCACCGCACGGCGCGGCAACAAGCTGCGATGCCGTCGGACGAGGACGAGGCCAGGACACTGATCGAAAGCGGCGGGATGGCGGTGATGGACTACAGCGCCGTGAATGGGCATCCGGTCCTCGTCGCCTATGCCGGTCCGCCCGTCGCACAGGCCCTCGAAATGGTCCCGCCGCAATGGACGGTATCGACGCTGCATTCCAGGCTGGTCCAGAGCCTCGTTCCCCCCCACCGTCGCGCCGGGGCAGATGCGATTCCGGACGCACCTACATCCTCGACGGTGACACAGTGGGGACGCGACGAGTACAGCCGAGGCTCCTACTCTTTCCTCCGTCGTGCCTCCTCCCCGTCCGACGGCGAAGAGGAGGAGGGAGAGGGGAAGGGGGAGGGATCGAGTCCGTTGGATATGCTCGAATGCGGCAAACCCCTTTGGCAGGGTCGGTTGGGCTTCTGCGGAGAACATACCGAACCAAACTGGTGAGTCCCTCGTCGGCCGTGGAAAAGCGGTACTTGCGTCGAGACGCCGTACTGATGCTCCCGCCTCGCCATCCCCATAACCAGCTACGCGAGCGTACACGGCGCTCTGATGGAAGGCGAACGCGAATCGAAACGCATCGTCAACCTCCTTCGGCTAGAAGAGGCATCCATCAACGACGCACCAGGTACCTGATCTAGACGCCGACGCACCAGGTACATGATCTAGACGCGTCGCGGCCCGTCTTTGCCCCTTGTTAGATAGATGCATAGATGACGACCAAGCACCCATGACGATGGCGGCGGATATCGAGATGGATTGCGCGGGCAGGCTGGTATATTCTATCGAAGCATTGAAGTGGGGTGGGCGGCGGGACGATGAGGCAGGGCCAGGAGGACGCAGACGCTCTCAGAGCATGCCGGCGACGCTGTCCGGGTGGTAAGGGTGCTTGACGAGCTCCTCGTACAGGTCCTCGGGCACGTCTCGGGCCATGCTGACGGTCACCTGGATAATCTGACGCGCATTGAGCGGCGGAAAGTGGCGCAGTAGCTTCATTGGGCTGCAGAGCGGGCGAGCAAAGAGGCGCGACGTTCTAACTGTCAGCAGTTGCGCATCTGGGACGAGAGGGTGACGACGGCGGCGGCGGTAGGAGCGAGCCGACCAAGTCCTGTACACACCTCGACGAGTCGAGCAGCTCGTTGCGCATGATGTGCAGCTGGGCCACGATGCAGAGGACGTTGAAGTGGACGCCAAAGGCGAGGAGAAAGTCCCACAGCTGCAGCACCTCGGGCAGCGGGGGCGTGCAGGCGCACAGCGTCAGGACGGCTGCGGTGGGCCCAGGGCAGAGGCGGGTCAGGATCGTCGTCGTCTGAAGCGGGGCGGCAGGCCAGCCCGGTCAGGCTTACAGGGAAAGGCGTAGATTTCGGCGGAGAGGTTCTTGGACCGCAGATGCGTGTAGAGCGAGGGGTCCAGACGTTCCAGGCACCGATCCAGGAGCTGCGGAGGGGTGCAGGCACAGAGGACGAAAGGAGGTCAGAGGGGTGGCCGGTGCGCTCCTGGCCGTGGCCGGAACGGTACCCACCTGCAGTCCCTTGTGCACGCCGGCGAGGGTGGGCTGGACGTAGAGCGGGCAGCACGTCTCGATGAAGCGGCTGAAGGCGTAGAAGGCCTCGAGCTCGCTGGGCAGCGTGTAGAGAAAGGGAGCTGCGAGGACATTCATTCCCTGGACGTAGGTGAAGTCGTAGACGAGGTGCGGATCCTCGCTGTCTGCTCGAGGGCGGGGAATGGGGACCAGGCCAGGGCGCCAGGTCGGGTCAGCTGCTGCGTCAGGTCGGACTGTACGCCTGTCTGTCCTTGCAGCGCCTTAGATCCTACGCACCGCAGTACTTCCACACGAACGCCTCTAGCAGGCGGATGAGCTTTTCCTCCTTGACGCGCTCCTTGAAGCCCTGGTCGGTGGCGAGGGTGCGGAACGTGTCGTTGCGGATCTTGTCGTGGGCGGGGGATTTGCCCTTGGACACGAGCTCGAGGTAGGGGGCTACGGGCGTGGTGCGGATGTCGAGGAGCAGCTTCCACACGAGGGAGCGGTAGCTGGACCCGGTCGGGGTGGTGTGCGAGTCGTCGGGCAGCGGAAAGGCGATGATCGTGTTGCGCATCTTGTTGAGGATCTGCTTGTACTCTGCCATCGTCTTGACCGTCGTTGCCGTCGAGGACGAGGAGGTGGACGAGGACGACGCTGGTGGTGCGGGTGTGGGTGTGCCGGGGGTGCTTGCTGCTGCGTTGGTGGGGCGGGTGTAGCGCGAGATTAGACGGCTCCATGCTTGCAGGGCTGGCTGCGGATCGTCGGCGGGCGCTATGGACGCGGACGTTGAAGGTATGGCTGCTGCGGCATCTTGGATGATGTGTGTTGCGCTGTCAGAGGGGGTATCGGTGGCCATGCTGCTTGCGAGGCGGCCGCGGCGAGGCAGGAAGAGACGAGGTGCATGGTGGACAGGAGTCAGGGAGGGCTTAAACTGAATCGCGCCACCTGCCTGGCCTCTGTCTGGCCTGCTGAGCTGCTGTTGGACCCTGGACGCCGCGAGATCCTGCTTGGACCCCGCCGAGCCGCGCACAGGCCAGCGTCAGACCAGGCCGGGCCAGAAGAGCTTGCTTGCCCCCAAAGCCCGGCTGTAGACACCGCCACCGTCTCGCCGCCTTCACCATCGCCGCTCGGTCTCAGCCGCCGTCGGAGCACAGCTCTGCCTCGTTTCATCACCACCTTGTCGCGGTCCTTCCTTCGCAAAGAGCGGCCAAGGCCTCCGCCCGTGCTCGCTCGTGGCAACCGTACATCAGCCTTCCGCTCCTCCTCGCCCGGCGTCCGGATTCCAGCGGTCAGGACTACGCCACGGCTAGAAGACGCCGCACTACGGTCAGGAGCGAACTGACTCGTCCGCCTCTGGTCTGCGCAACAAATCGCCGCATCTTCCAGCTGCCGCCTGCTATCGAAGCACCGCCCGCCTTGCTCGAGCCGGCGGCGGCAACAGCAGTTGCGGCGTCTTCTTCACTCGGCCACCGATTACTACTAGCTGACAGGCGCACTCGGCTCAGAGATACGTCTCGACTACGCCCCAGCCTCGCTGCATCTCGGACGTCTCTCCGTCGTTCGACGGCTGCATGATTGCCCGGCAGTACAAGTCGTACAACGGCTGCGCAAGGAGGCAGGGGGCGATGATGGGTCTGCGCCTCATTTCGCGCAGGCCGGTCGCACTCGTCCGGGAACTACGCCCCTCGCCCGTCCAGCCTTCATCTGTTGCCGCCAACCTTGAGCTGCGGCGCAGATCGCCAGAGGGTCGAGGTCCGTACGACCGGCTGCACCGTGTCCTCTTTTGCTGCCGGGGGCCCAAAGCTTTTGCGGCCTAGAGAGCGAAGAGGCAGCGGGGCCCATGTTGGCCACGTCTGAGCCAAGATCGACAAGGTTTGGCCCCGAATCGTTCAGGGAGGACACGAGGATGGCACCCACGGAGCACAAACGGTGCTTTCGGGGCGGACATGTTTGCGCAGGAAGAAACTCGGTCCATGAGGTCAAACGAACCTTCCGCCTTGATCCATCCGGCCGCGCAGAGCCGCTGCGATTGATGGTCGCCGCACCGCGCCGCGCTGCGCCGCACCGAATCGCCATGCTGCGCAGTGGCCCGGCGCGCTCGTTCTATCTACCTGCGCAACGGCGCCCCGCGAGCGAGCGGTCAACGCTCAGTGGGGCACGAAGGCAGGCTTCAGCCTTCCTGCCAGCGTCCATCCTCTGTACAGCCGATGGCCCGCTTCAGCCAGCCCGAGCTCAAGGCAGGCTTATAAGGGAAGCCGTTCTTGCGGGGCGATTCGTTCCCTTCCGCCTCTTCCCTCATCTCCATCGCTCTTCTCTCCCCCGTCCCAACTTTACCTTTGCCCAAGCCCCCTCGACTCGCCCTGTCTACTTTGAACCATCTCCAAAAAGCACTTCCATCGACACCAACTGCTACCCGTGAGCCAGCTTGCCACCATGGCCGAGCAGAGCAAGCTCTGCCGCTGGTTTGGCACGGCGCAGGGATGTCGCTACGGCGACTCGTGCATATTCAAGCACGCAGACGCCGCTCCGAAGGCGGCTGGCAGCAGCACTGCCACTCCGTCCGCCAGCACCAAGAGCAAGCCCTATCGCCCCGTCCTTTTCTCCACGCGACTGACGCTGAACCCTCCCGACATTACCGCGACGACGGTGCCTCAGCTCGCCGAACCGACTTCGGATGCCCTCATGCCCCGTTCCGACCAAGACCCCGACCAGACCCGCAGCCGCCTGTTCGTGTACCTCAAGCCCAACTTCACCTTTTCCAGCTCGTTTGCCGTCAAGACCTTCTGCGAGATCCTCGTCAGCTGCAACTCCAAGCACACCGATTGGGTGGGTGGCCAGGATCCTAGCACAGGCGACGCGGCACGACAAGGCACAAAGTGAGAGCTGGACTGACACGGCATGACATACTCATCCCGTCCGGCGCACAATGGCCCACAGACGATGGACAAGCGAACCGACTTCCTCGATCAGCTGGTCCACAACGAAGCAGCTGGCATCCAGAGGATCAGAGACGTTCTTCGATACCCCATCACCATCCGAGCCTGCGCGCCTCCGCGCGTCGAGCTCTGTTTCCAGCAGACGGTGCTACTCGTAACCATGGTGAGCATGCCAAGCGGCCCAATCTCGAGGCTACCCACTCGCCGTTGAGCTGCGCTGACTGATGCGATGCCCGTGCCCTTCGTCGTGCTGCTACAATAGTTCCTGAGCAGCGAGGCCGTCGTGCGCTGCATGGCCAAGAGGACCCAGACGCTCCTCCTCGGCATCGTTGACCTTCACCTCGGCGAGATCCTCGACGCGGTTCTCACTTCGAGCGAGGCTCTGCTCAAGTCGAGCATCGGCGTGCCTGCTCTGGCCTCGATGGCGCAGATCTTCAAGCCGACTAGCGTCATGCTGCTCGAGTGAGAATCGTTCCTAAGCCCTTTATCCTCGCAGGCTGAACCCAACGGCCGGCTGCTGACACCTTATCGATGTAATCTCGTGTCGCCGCAGGTACATCCGCCTCTTTAAGGATGCGGCCATCGAGAACGAGCCTGCCCTCAAGTCCTTTGTCGACAAGTTTGCCGAGCTCCACACTGCCTGGGCCGACAAGGTTCGCGCCGGCACCATCCGTAACGACGTGCTTGCCACGCTGCCAGTCGACCAGCAAAGCTTCGCCCTGCACGTCGTCGGTCACTGGATCCGACAGCTGAAGGATGTGGTTGCCCGAGCGGGTCGAAAGATTGGCCCGGGCGATGGCGCGACGCACGTCGATGCCGACGCCGTCCTGGCACAGCAGAACCTCGGCCAGCTGGCGCACATGCAGCGCCTGTTTGAAGGTCCCGGCAGCCTGCGCGGAGCCGGTCCCCGTCACGACAACGACCATGCCGACATCACCAAGATCCAGATCGTTCCCACGCACAGCGAGCTGTCGAGCAGCGTCGCACCCTACATCCCTGCCACCATCCCCGGAGCCCCGCACCACCTGTCAGAGGGCACTTACGCACGAGTGTGGGTACACTGTGACGATCGTGGGATGGGCCCACGACGACGAGGTCTCGGCGCCGTGCTGACGCGATCGCGATTCTCTACCTGATCCTTCCCACCACTCCACACAGCCTTGACGTCCAGTTCCGCCTGCTTCGCGAGGAGGCCATGGCGCCCTTTCGACAGGGCCTCGCCTCTCTTCTGCGTGACCTCCAGAGCTTGGTAAAGCCGAACACGGGAGACCGCGAAGGCCTGGCAGGCGCCGCACGCATCCGAGCCATCCTACACGAGGGCGGAGGTCGACTCCAGGCCGACAGGCAGGACATAGTCGCGGCCGACCTGGTCATCCACGGCGACGGCCGGCTCCAGTTCCGCGGCTGCAGGACTCTCGCCAACAATGTGAGTTGCAGCCAAACGCAGAAGGAGTCCTGCCCGTTTTTCACTCAGCTGACCTTGCCGAACGCCATTTTTCTTTGGCGACACATCTCTTGTATGATCTGCCAGGGCGTCGTCGTCGATCTGTCCTTCTGCTCCCCCGTGCGGGCGCGAAGCAACCCCAAGCGCTACTGGGAATTTGCCGCCAAGAGGGGTGCGTGAGGAGACGGACTGGATGCGGCCGGATCGGAGCCCAGCTGACTTCTACGCTCGCTCTTCTCCTGTTTCGCTCCTCCAGCTCTGGGGATGGGCGCCCTGGTGGCCTTCCTGGTGGCTTCTGGCGACCTCTCTCCTAGGCTGTTCATGGGCACCGTGTGCAGCTTCCCGTCGGACATGCTGAAGGGCGTGGCTTCGGGCCGAGACCCTACCGTCAGCATCTCCTTCTTCGACTCTGCCGCCCTGGCCTTCTTCTTCGACAAGCCCAAGGGCGTTACCGAGCTCCTTGTCGAGGCCAACGGTATCATCTACGACACCATCGCACCCTTTCTCCGCTCGCTGCAGGACTCTAACCCCCACTACCTGCCCTTCAAGGCCTACATCGCCGAGACGATGCATCGCCAACTGCCGGCCGGCAGCGTCGAGGTCGCAGCCCCTGACTATGCCCTTGCCCCCGGCTTCAAGTTCGACCTCAGCGCGCTCCTTCTCGACTCGAAGAGGTCCACGCAGACCCTGACCATGTCCATGGACGCTCACAGCATCGATGCCGCCAGGCGCCAGCTGGAGGAGGCCAGCACGTTCGACGGATCCCAGATCGACGCCATCGTCAACTCGCTTACCTCGCAGGTTGCGCTCATCCAGGGACCTCCAGGTGCGTGCTTGCTCGAATGGGCGTGTTCCCGTCGATCCAGACATCCCTGACCATCATCAGCCTTCAACGTCTACAGGTACCGGCAAGAGCTACACGGGCGTCGCGCTGGTCGACGTACTCCTCAAGAGCAAGGTCAGGCCGATTCTGATCGTCTGCGTCACCAACGTAGGTACACCGGCGGTAGTTCGGCGCAGCCGGATCCATGTTCCCTCTCACACGCAGTCACTCCCCCACCATTCGACGCCCACGCCGTGGATACAGCACGCGCTCGACCACTTCCTCCGAAGCATTCTGGACAAGGGCATTACCGAAAGCCTCGTCCGCTTTGGTTCAGCATCCAAGGACCCGAAGGTGAGCTCCATCTGGACACTACGCTTCCACCTCGATTGTTGGCTGATGCGATGTATCCTGCTGCAACGCTTGGATTGACAGGTCGCCTCCTTCAGCTGGAACTCGATCAAGCACGCGGCCCATGACGATCCGAGCAGCCGTGCCCTCAACGCGGCCTTCAAGCAGTACAAGGTCGCCGAGGAAAAGCTCAATCAGTGTCTACGTGCGCTGCAGCAGACCAGGTAGGTCACCCCTTGGGCCGTGAATCGGCAGCAATGAAACCAGGCCCTGGTGCAGAGTGCTACAAGTCGGATCCTGACATCGCCCCGACATGTCTCTCGACATCGCAGACTTCCGCTGGAGAGCATCACGAACGTCAATGGCTTCGCGTACGGTGCGCACTTCGAGCAGCTGAGCGACAAGAGCGGCAAAGCTCTGCCGGCCGCGGTGTCCGCCTTCGAGCAGCGCTGGCAGGTCGTTGGCCCAAACACGAAAAGCCACGAAACACTGTTCGACTTTTGGCTCGAGGGCGGAGACCTCATCTTCCGCGTCCAGCCCGCAACGGCCGCAGTCAGCGCACCTGCTCTCCAACGCCCAACACGACGCGAGGACGCTCAGCCGCGACGAGGTGCTCTCGGCATGGGCCATCTCCATCTCAACTGGGGTCTTCTGGCTGTCGAGGAGGCCCTCGCCGAAGACGACTCGGACAAAGACGCGGAGGCCAGGAGCGAGAGCGCCCAGATGACCGAGGAAGCCCAACACACAGCTGCTGTTCCCATTGACCTCCACGACGAGGTGCAGCAGGAAGAGCTCGTCGAAGCGATGAGCGGTCTCGTTCTCGACGAGAGTGGCACCTGGCCGGAGCTGCGTTCCGCCGACAGCGACAGAGACGTCGAAGAGCTCGGCGAGGACAACGATGTCTGGAGCTTCTCGCTCAAGGAAAGGCACAAGCTCGCCCGCCACTGGGAACAGCGCGCCAGGGAGCTTGAGAACGACAGGTTCGACCGCGCCAAACGGGAGTTCGAACAAGCTCGAGAGGAGCTCAACCACCAGAAGGATCAGGTATGTCTCGGGAGAGAAAACTGCTGCGGCAAAGTGCGCTTGCTGATGTGCTTGCCCCATCATGTCCTTCTCGCTCGCGCAATCAGGCCTGTCTCCGCATCGTGCTTGGCTGCGACATCATCGGCTGCACGACCAACGGCGCTGCCAAGCTGACCAGCCTTCTCGCTGTGAGTCATCTCCCGGAGCAAGCAGATTCGAAGTGCTGTTGCTGAAGCTCGAGCGCCCCATCTTTGCCACGCTGCAAGCAGAACATCCGACCGAAGGTTCTTCTGGTCGAGGAAGCCGCCGAGATCCTCGAAGGTACGACTCCTCTCCCGGAGTTTCTCGCCCTGGCTGCGGCACTCGGCAGCATGCCTGACGACGCCTCTCCTTCCACCCGTCTCGCGCGACCAAAACGCAGCACACGTCCTCGCCTCGATGACCCCCTCTCTCCAGCACCTGCTGCTCATCGGTGACCCGATGCAGCTGCGTCCCCACATCTCCAATTACACGCTCTCGATGGAGAGCAAGAGGGGTCAGCTCCACAGGCTGGACTTCAGCCTGATGGAACGGCTCGCCACCGAGGCTGGACTGCCCATCACCCAGCTCAACGTGCAGAGGCGCATGCGTGCCGAGATCGCCGACCTCGTGTAGGTCATTGCAACCCGCCTCGGTCCTTTCAAGCTCCCTGCGTGCGCCGCTGATCTTACACTGGCGTCTCGCGCGCTCACTTTGGCACAGGCGTCCCCTGTACCACAACCTGCAAGACCACCCTGACATGGCGAACCGGGCCGACGTCAAGGGCTTCCAGAAGAACCTCGTCTTCATGGTGAGAGCTGCGGTCACCGCAGAGCTGTCTTAGATCAGTGCGCTGCTGCCTGCTGCGCTGTCAGTCTCTTCGCTGACGGTTTCGACGAGCTTGTCGCCTCTGGACGCAACAGGACCACAGCCATGCCGAAGACAGGACCCGTGACGCCGGCAGCCGTTCGAACGACTTTGAAGTGCTGATGGTGATCGACCTCGTCAGGTGAGCATGCCGCGCCGTCGAGACCCGATGCTCGGCCATGCTGCTGACCTCGCTCGCGGTCTGGCTCCGCCCTTGGACGAACAGGTACCTCTGCCAGCTCGGCTACCGAAAGGAAGGAGACATCTGCCTCCTGACTCCCTACCTCGGCCAGCTCGCCAAGCTCAAAAAGGCGATGGCCAAGGAGGTCGTCAAGGTCGTCGTTGACAACCGCGACGAGGAGCAGCTTGCCCTCGCCGAGGCAGCGGACGCCGCCGAAGCTCCGAACGAGGCCTACATGTCGGTACAGTCCTCATCCCTCGAAGCGGCGGTGCGTGTTGCAACCGTCGACAACTTTCAGGGCGAGGAGGCGAGGGTCGTCATCCTCAGCCTGGTTCGCAACGCTGGTTCAAGCGACGGTGACGACGAAGACCCCGCCACTGCGTACCAGAACGTCGGCATCGGCTTCCTCAAGGTAAGGGCTGCTGCAGTACCCGTTACCAACGTTGCCCGCGAGGCCGCGCTGACGCATCGATCTGCCTCGCCCCAATCTCAGTCCCCAAACCGCAGCAACGTGGCCCTCTCGCGCGCCAAGGAAGGCCTGTTCATCCTTGGCAATGCAGGCCTGCTGTCGAGCAAGTCCGAGTTCTGGGCGTCTACTCTCGCCACGCTCGATGCCTCGGGCGCGGTCATGAACGGCTTCCCCGTAAGTCAGGGCGGACGCATGCTGAGGGATTGGCGCTGTTTGCTATGATGGCAGAGGGTTCCGACTTCCGACCTGATGGCGACCATGGCCTCGTATTCCCTCCTACAGCTCCAATGCGAGCACCATCCCGAAGAGACTCTCAGCGCGACCGACCCGGGTCAGATCCCGGTCTGGGCTCCTAACGGTAAGTGGACGTGGCGCGGCGACCTTTCTGGCTCCGTCGTAGACTGACGCTTTCACCCTTTGATCTCGCGGCAACTCAGGCGGATGCCCTCAGATCTGCAGCAAGAGCATCGGCTGCGGTCACATCTGCGACAAGAAGTGCCATCCCGGAGACGCAGAGGTGAGCACTGCGGACTGCCTCCTTGGCACGTTCTATTGCGGCAACGCGACTGACCCCGTCCTTGCTTGCTGCCTGCCGCTCTCGACAGCATCGGCTGCACCCTTGCGAGGCCCCCTGCGCTCGACTGCACGAGGAGTGCTCCCACCCGTGTCAGAAGGCGTGTCACGAGGACTGCGGGTGAGTACTCCACCGACGGTCATCCCATCGGGCAGCGCCCGCTGACTAGTCCACGAACGACCTCCTTGTTTCCGCCGCAGGCTGTGCGAGTTCCCGCTCTCCTCCGTCCAGCTCCCCTGTGGTCACACCGCCGACAAGGTCCCCTGTCACCAGGTCAAGAGCGGATACGTGCGCTGCACCGTGCCCGTCACCAAGGAGCTCCAGACCTGCGAGCACACCCTGGCCGTTCCGTGCGGCGACGACGTTGCAGACTACAGCTGCAACGCCGCTTGCGGCAAGGTAATGTCGTGCTGCGGAAGGGTCTGCTCCGCGGGCTGCGACGCTTACCAATCGCTCAGCACCAAAGGCAAGGCGACGGGCCCCTCTGCGAGGATGAGGGACAGCGAGGATGGCGAACATGCCGAAGCTGTCATCGAACGGACCGCGCACCGTCCGCATCTCTGCGACCAGCCCTTCTCTTCCTGCCCGCACAAGTGCTCGCAACGGTAAGTGCGCGCCGTGGACATCCCTCCCATTTAACCTGCTCTGACAAGATTCTACTTTTTCCTCATCGTTTCTCAAGCTGCGAGCCCGACCACAAGTGCGGCGAGTGCCGCGAGCCCTGTTGGCGTTCGTGCGAGCACAGCCAGTGCCGCAAGCGTTGCAACGAGCCGTGCACCACCTGCCTCGCCCCGTGCTCGTGGGATGCGTGCCCGCACGTTGCTCAGGGCTGCCCCCTCCCTTGCGGTGTCGTGAGTAACTTTGGGCTTTCAGCGCCGCCCTGGTCAACCGACACAGGACTGACGTATTGGCGAGCCATCTGCGCTGCGACCTCAGCCTTGCTCTCGCCTTCCCTGCGACGCTCGCTGCACGGAGACCCTCATCTGCGGTCACCCTTGCCCCAGCCGTGAGTATGAGACTGTCGATGGTCGTCACCGCCCATCAAGCGCTCCGCTAACCTCTTCCGACATGCGCCCTCGTGTCCCCTTCCCCAGTCTGCGGCGAGCCTTGCGACGTGCAGGCGTGCATCGAGTGCATGCCCGCCGAAAAGCGACAGGCCGACGTCGTCGACCTGCTGATGCATCGCACCCTCGCCGAGATCGACGATACCGACGATGGCCTCGACAACATCCTCCTCACCCTGTGAGTGTCACCGACGGTCAGACCTCTTTGCTTTGAGCGCGACAGAAGAACCAGTGGCTGAGGCTCGTGCACTTGCCTTCACTCCGCCACAGGGACTGCGGCCACATCTTCACGGTCGAGACGCTGGTGAGTGGCCTGACCAGATGCAGCGATTCCAGGCTCGTGCTGACCTTCTTTGCCCTCGTATCGTTGCAGGACGGGATCCTCGAGCTCGACAAGTACTACGACCGTGACGAGAACGGATGGGTGCGACCTTCGCTGCCGTCGTCGATGTTCGAGAAGCCCAAAAAGTGCCCGACCTGTCGTGCAGAGATCTACGCCCGTCGCTACTCGAGGCCGATTAAGCGAGCCGTCCTCGACCTCCAGGAGACCAAGACGACGCGCGAGCTCAACGCGGCGGTCGCCAGGGTTCGAAAGGCCTGCGCGAGCGTCGACATCACCGCGAAGAAGGAAACTCTGCGCGAGGATGTCGCGAAGGCGATCAGCGTCCTCCCGGCCACGGTGCCCTCGCTCGAGGAGCAAAAGAGGCTGACGCGCTCGCTCGTCAAGGACCAGGCACGCGTGGACCTCAAGTCCGGCCACACCAGCATCACGCCGTCTGGCAAGGTGTTCGACATTCGGAGCCGTGGCGTCGATCAGGCCCTGGTGCGCGCCTGGAACGCGGCTTGCACGGCCATCAAGCAGTGCTACGTCCAGGTCCAGGACATCGCCAAACGCCCACTGTGTGAGTGCAGGCAGATCTGCCTCGATCGGATCAGGGCGCGCTTGACTGACAAGCTGCCTTACCGCCTTGTCTTCTACAGCCCCGAGCATGGATGCGTGGCAAGCGGCGGTGGCCTCGAGCTACCAGGCAGCCGCGATGCTTTACGACATGGAGAGGGACCCGCGGGCTGGCCTCAAGGCGATGAGGGAAGCCAAGGTCGCAGTCGGGACCCCCGCGCCCCGAGCCGATTACCGCTTCCGCGTCGAGAGCATCATGCACGGCATCAACCTGCGCCTTCTCCTCCTCGATCTCGCCGAAGAGGTCGCGACACAGCTCAAGGGGGCCGATTCGCCGCAGCTGTGGAGCTGGAACCTCTACGTGAGCCTAGCGCCAGCGTCGAGGGCACCATCGGTGGATCAGCAGCTGACATTCTCCGCCCCTGTCACTTCCCATCCTGATCTATCTCTTTCCGAGCGCAGATCGACTTTGTCATGACCTCGATCATCCTCGACGCCACCAAGGCAGTCCACTTTGCAGAGATCGGCCAGTGCTCGAAGCTTTTCCTCGAGGCGAATGCGCTCAAGCTGAGGGTCGAGTTCGAGCGCGTCAAGACCGAGGCCATCCGAGTGCTCGAGAGCGAGCTGTCTAAGCGACCGGAGGTCTCGAAGGCGGCAGGTCAGCACGTCGACATCCTCTTCGAGGGCTCGGAGGCAATCGTGAACTCGTTCGTGGCAAGCGCGACACCCGAGTTGGCCGCCTTCTACGTCGCCAACGTCCAGCCCACCATGCGTCAGCTCAGGGAAGAGGCGGTCGCGTTCGTCCAGCATCTCGCCGCCGAGACCTTCTACCAGCCCGTCTCGAGCGCCGAGAAGATGATGATCACCAAGGCCATGCACGACGCCGAGTTCACCCACGGCGGCCACTGGTACCGCTGCGACAACGGCCATCCGTTCACGATCGGCGAGTGAGTTTGATGCTGCGGCCTGTCGTGGTCCGCTCTGGACGACTCGAGCTAAGCTTACACGTCGATGCAACTGCCCTTGTTCGCTCCCTCCCCTCGTCGACCTCCTGACAGCTGCGGTGGAGCTATGCAGGTCTCGGCCTGCCCCGAGTGCGGTGCGAGGATCGGCGGCAGCGGCCATCGTCTCCTCGGGGGCAACATCGTGGACAGCGAGATGGAAGATCTCGCTCGCGAGCAGGGAACCGCTCCCTCGCCCTGGAACTGGGCTCAATGGGCTCCATAGGTCATCACAGCACGTGCGACCGACCTCTTCGCATCGAGGACTCCGGCTCCGCACGACGCCTTCAACCATCCTCTATCGCCTTCGCAGCATCAGAGCAACGTCGTCCGACAAGAGCAGAGGCTGCAGACATCCATGCTGCTAAACCCGACTTGACAACAGCGCGACATCGAGGCACGAACAGCTCGCAGGCGAGCGATCTCCTCCATAGATGAGCGCAACCGCTTCCCTAGACTCCTCATTGTCGGTCGTCCGTAGACCGCAGCGCTCCTTGCCACTGACCGAGAGCCCCTTCTTGTAGCTCTGCTCCCATGACGCCTTCGGTCGAGGGCTGGCCGTCAGATCTTCGAGAACCAATGGACCGCAGTCCGGTCGTTGAACCATCGTGTCGTCTGCGAAGGGGACCGAATCGACGTGGCTAAACAGGCAGGCAAGCAGGCGCGGAACCGAAAGCGGCTCACTGGGCCGGGCCAGAGGTAGTTTGCCGCCACGTGCGGCTGGTGCTCGACAGACCAAGGCCGCGGCGAGGGGCCGAAGTCTGCTCGGGACCGGAAGATGAGGAATAGCCTACAGTATCAAGGCCGTCGAAGGCGTATTCATGCCCTAGGCTGGATCCTAGCATCACGTCTTTGCCCGACAAACTTTTCTTCTCGACGTCTTGAGAGCGCTCGTGTAAGATGCGAGGTGGCTTGTGGCAACTTACGAGGTGGCGAAAGCGCACGCACTTTGCCCTTCCACATGATCACGTCGACGACGTCCGTGGGATCTTTGACCCGAGCGAGTGAGAAGACGTCTGGGTGCCCCGTATCTTCGAGACGGTGGGCTTCCCTCTCCGCTGATCCACGACCCCACAGAGGCAACCTGGACAAGTTCGAAAACTTTGTGGCTTTGCTGCGTCTACGAACTTCTGAGCGAGAGGGAGCAGACAGGTGATGCGGAGAAGAGGGGTTCCGGTATGTGATTGGAGAACGTTGGCGCCGCGGGGAGATGGTGCGACAGGACAAGACATGGGGAGCGTGCTGGGCGTGGGGAAGCGGAGGGAGGGCTGGCTGCGTTCGGTGAAACTCGATGTTCCGCCACTCCGCACGCACGCACGCACGCCCTAGCCTAGCCTGCTTGTCGCTGCGTGCGTGCGATAGGGTGAGGAGAGGTGGCGGCGAGCGCACCTATGAGAAGACGAAGCAATGCGCTCCCAAATTCGAAATTGACAGACAGCACCGTTCGGCAACACCTAGCCTCTTCTTCCAGCCCGCCCTCCATCCCGTGTGTTTGACATTCGAGACCTTGGTCTGGCCTGGTCGTCTGGTTTGCGTTGGTGATGCTGAGATGGCTGCCAGGCTGTAGCTTTTGCTTGGGTGCTTTCGCCATCAAAAGGCTGGGTACCCGAGGCCTGGCAAGGACAGACAGACCAGCGAGCGAGAGCCGTTCGCTCGTCGCTGACACCGGTATGCCATGCCATGCGTAGGCCGCCAATCAGCCCAGCCCAGGCCCTCTAGCCTGCAAGCAAGCGAGGATTTCCTTCCAATTGTGGGGTTGCCAATCCGCTCGGGCCCACGAGCACAGCGAGGCAGGCAGGCAGGCAGGCCGGCCTGCGATTCGACGACGAAGGCGAGAAAACCGTGCGTGCTGCCGCCCCCATCCGTCGGCAAGAGGTGGCCATGTGAATTCGGGTACCTACCTAGGCGACCTTAGCTTGTCGGCACCTCGTCTGGCAACCTTGACGAGAGCCAGGCCAAGAGTTTCAGCAGAAAGACGAACCTCGAACCTCGACGGAAAACGCAGCGACTGGGAGGGGTAACCAGAGTGTCAATCGTCTTGGCCAGGGCGAGGAACGGCGTCGATTCGAGCAGAGGTGGCCCCCCTCGCATAACCTCTTGGCGTGATGGGGCGGTACGGAGTGGTACCTGTACATACACCTACCTCCATCGAGCGGTACAGACCACGGCGGGTAGACGCGGAAACCTGCGGATAAGGCTGCAGGGGGTTGGCAAAAGAGGGCCGAGGACGAAGTACGGTCCAGGTCCGGTACCTACAGCGGTCGGCAGCTAGGTGCCGGTGGCTATCGTCGTCCTGTTGGTGGCGGCAGAGGAGCAGCCCAATCGAGGGCGAGCGGAAAAACGGAAGAAAGGCTTCCGGTGCCTACATACGGCTGCCCTGCCGCGCCATGCCATGCCATGCTGGCTTTCTCGGTCCGAAGGCAGGGCACAGGGTGGATGACGGCGATTCGTTGCCGTCTTATCCTGGTCCATTCAGGCCGCCACCGAGAGGGGCAGAGTGTGCGAGGGGCGGTCCGGATTCCTCACGAGAGCTTCGATTCGATCAACGACGATGGTGGAAGAGACACATACGGAGGTGGTCGGTCTGCTGGGCAGCCCAGCCAGGCCCCCCCCCCCTCCCCCCCCCCCCGCAATGCGACCATCACAGACGTGCCCGTGCGTGCGACGGCGAAACCCCAACGCAGCACATACAGCTACAGCCACAGCAGCTACGACCTAGGCTTCCCGCCCCGCGCCGTCACATGCTGCTCAGGTCCCCCGTGGGCTGCCGGGGCGCCAAGCGTGTCCCTGGGAAAGTCTTGTGTGATTCGACTTCCGCCCGGAGCATCCCCGCTTCCGGATGCGATAGGCGGAGGGCAGATACACAGATCTTCGCGGCGAATCAGCGCCTTTCCTTATCTCGCGAGTCACGCCCAACGCCCGCGCCCTCACAGAGCACGAGCTCGGCTGAAGAATGAGATGGCGGATACATGCTTTGGATTCTTTTGCTACGTCTGCTTTTGATTGGTTGGTTCGGTCGGTTTGCTATGGATTCGGTGACAACGGGGCGGGTGCCAGGAGGCCATGCAGAGCCAGACAGGGCGAGAAACGACGGTCGTGTGGAGAGGGGTGGGGGGTAGTGTGGAGTCCAAGACCCCGGGAAAAGCGAGTTTTTTCCCCGGGCCCGATGCTAGAAACTGAGAGAGACGACGAGAAGGCAACAAAGTCCCATGACAGAGGTCAACCGGAGCAGTGGAGCAAGCTACAAGGCCGTGGCGGAGCAGCTTGCTTCTTTTGGGGGATGAGGGGAGGGAGTGATGGACGATCATGGCACTGAGACGAGGATGATTGTGGCGGTGATGATGATGATGATGATGATGATGATGATGATGATGATGATGCTGACGAGGCTTGGAAAGATGCGGTCACGATGCCTGTTGAATGCTGGAGAAGAATCCTGGGAGCGGTGGGTTGGATGCGAGGTGCCTTTGGGTCCTGTGGAAGGATCTTGGCTGGCGGCGCGGCCAGCGGTGATCACGTCGATCGCCGCGTGGCGGTGCGCCCGCGCCGCGGGCTGTGCTCAAACGAGCTGGGCTCCGACGAGTCCGAGCTGGCGTCGCCGTCGAGCTCGAGCTCAACATCATCAAAGCCCGGGTCGTCGTTGCGGGCGGCACGGCCGCGGCCCCGGGGCCCTCGGCTTCGAGACGAGGAGCCCCGGTCAGCCGAGCTGTGGCCGTAACCGGCCCACGAGATCTCGCAGTCTCGGTGGATCCACTGCCGCCGCTTGGGGCTTTCGGCCCTCGTCGTGGACGTGCCACGGTCGCGGCCCCGACCACGGCCCCGAACCTCTGGCGAGGAGGGCTCCTGAGCTTCGAGGTGGGTCTTGAGAGCGAGCGGCGAGGGTCGCTCCGGAAGTGCCGAGCGCAGGGGCTCGTCGTGGTGATAGATGTCGTCGTCGACGACGACGGCCGACCTGGGGTTGGACCCAAAGGAGATGGGGTTCGACCTGGGCGAGATCGGGAGTGGAGACGCCGGTCCACTCGTTTCCGGCGAAGCTTGTCGCCGAGCTGCTGCGCGAGGCGGGCTGCGGCTCCGCTGGGTGGAGCTGCGCACCCGTGCCGAAGACCGGCCGCGCTGCATGGCGGAGCGGGGCTCGCTCTGTTCCTGAGAGGCGACCATGCCGGAAGGGGTCCGCCTCGGCGACGAGCTCGACGCTTCCTGCTCCTGCGCGTGGAGCTGGGTGAAGAAGAGGCCGGCGGCAGCGCTGTGGGAGTGCTTGTGCTTGTGGAGCAGGCTGCGGTTGTCGACGCTGGAGGTGGAGCCGCGGCGCGAGCCCGAAGGCGACAGGACGCTCGCGGCGTAGATGTCGATGTCGCCCGAAAGACTGGACAGCGTGCGGCAGCGGTCGCAAGAGGCATCGGTGCCCGTGGCCGGCGACAGGGCTCGCGAGCTTTCCGGGCTGATGGCCCGCATCGTCTTGCCCGCCGACGAGGCGGCCGACTGGATCTGAGGAGGGGAGCGTGCGCCGAGCTGGTCCGAGTGGCCCCGGCGCATCGCGACGCTGCCGGGAGCCGGACCCGAGCGCGCTGGCGACGTTGGCGAGGCCATCTTGCGGCTGTTGGCGAAGAAGTCCATGGCGGCCTTCTTGGTTAGCGTGGCCTGGGCGTCGCCGCGCTGCGAGGTGCTGATGGCAGGGAGGCCCTTGCCGGTGGCGGTGACCTTGGTGGTTGCGGTGATGGCCGGCGACGTGTACCACATCGAGGGCGGGAGGTTGGTCGTGCTTGGCCGGCGAGCGAACCACATGGGCGACTTCTGCTGGCTGCCCTCGCTGGGGCGCATGCCGACGCTGGGTAGCTGGGCCTCCTTAATCTTGGGCGAGTCGCGCGTGGTGCGGCGGAGCATGACGGCACTCGCGGTGCTGACCGAGGGCGGCAGCTGGAACTCGTTGGCGTCGAGGTCGCTCGATTCGTCCTCGGTCGCTCCGTATGCGGGCGAAGGCGTGCTGGGGTCGGTGCTGGCAAAGGCGCTGGTGCTGCCGTTGGACTCGGAGATGGACGAGAAGGTCGACTGCGAGCTGCTCCGCTTCTTGTGCATCGAAAGGTGGCCCGCCTCGGTCGATGCGTTCGAAGAGCGGTTGTAGTACCTGCCCCTCGAGTTCGGCAGCGAGCTCTGGTAAGCCGAGAGGGCCGGCGACGTGAGCGAGGTGGCCTTTAGCGGGGTCGAGTACTGGGCGAGGAGGTTTGGAGACGGAGGGCAAGGGTAGCGGAACTTGTGCTCGGTGTCATCGCGGGCAAAGGTGTCGGTGCGCGAGGGCGAGGGGAGGCCGCGGACCTGGTCGTGCTTGGCCTGGGCTACCTGTTCGGCGTCGGCGAGCTTGCACTTTTCCGAGCAAAAGAGCTTGCCGTGGGGCGTTGGCCCACCGCAACTGGTGCAGACATCGTCGCCGAGCCAGGACGAGAGCTCGTCGGCGGGAGTTGTGCGGATCTCGGACGTGTCAAAGTCCTTGCGGCCGCCGAAGTGGCCGTAGGAGCGCTTGTAGATGCCCGCCATGGTGAGGGCGTGGTTGTGGTCGGGCGTGTGTCTGCGAAAGGGGGGAGCGCGGGGGAGCTCCGACTTTCCAGAACGTCTGCTGGAAGGCGTCGAGGCAATGGCAGTGGTGGCTAGCGGTGTGGGTTGTCGTTGGTGGAAGGAGGGGTGAAGGAGGGGAGGGAAGCGATGCTAGCCCGGAAGATATAGGCTCACACGCTGGCTCGGGAAGGCTGCTGGGTGTGACTCTGGGTGGGGCGGCAGGAGGAAGGCGAAGGGATGGATGTGATGGAAGTGTGCGTGTGTGACTCGGGGAGGCTGCCGATGGTGCCGTGATGAAGCGTTGCAGTGCGGTGCGGGCTGGGCTGCGGGTGCGGGATCGGGTGAGGAAGTCGGCTTGTGCCGCTCTCGGTGCTGCCGGCGGTGGTGCGGTGGTACGGTGGTGGTGGTGGTGCTGCTGCTGCTGCTCTGCGGGATGATGATGCTAGAGGAGATGGCAACAGGCGGTGGGTGCGTGGTGTGCAGAAGATGAAGGTCGAGGGGCGCGGAGGACGATGTGGTGCTGAAGCAAGCCAAAGGCGAAGGAAGAATGGCGAGTCCAAGAGAGGGGCGTGGCGTTGCGTTGCGGAAGGTTGCGTTGGAAGGCAAAGAGGTGATGGAAGAGGGGGCGAGGGTGGCCTTTGAGGACCCTCGCAGGTGTTCTCGAGCAGGACGGTGGCCTGGCGAGCCAGCGACAAGCGCAGCGAGAGCGAGCAGAAGGGTACGCACGGCGGGGAGGAGGCGGCAGTGGCCACCAGAATGGCGGCATCCAGGAATGAATGACTCAGGTAACCACGGCCAGCCAGCCAGGGACCACCACCGTACCATTAGGGTAGCCAGCCAGGCCAGCGCCAGCAGCCAGCAGCCAGCAGCCAGGGTGTAGGGTTGCTGGGCAGCCAGGCAGGGCCCGCAGATCAGGACCCACAGCCTGCCTGCAGCCCACCACCGACGACAACTCCGGCCGTCACAGCGCGCCCTACCCGGCCTGCCCGACTGCCTGCCTCTGTGCGTCAGGCTGCCCTTGCTTGCCTGCCAGAGGAAAATCCAGGGCCCAGGGCCGAGGAACGGGGGCGAGGCCGAGGAACGAGATTTTTTTTTTTTAAAAAAAAAAAAAAAACTTGCAGCGCCTCGCCCGCCCCATCTCATCCAACCAGCAAAGCACGCAAGCGACCGCCGCCATCATCACCTACCCTCGTTTCTGGCACGCCGCCACCGCATAGCGATCTCCAGCCTCGCCGGCCATGCAAACGACGTACTGGACTCGACCTCCCAGAGACTTGCGGCACACCTCGCTGTGGCCGCAAGGGTGTCCGATGTCGGTCAGGTCATGAGGACGCGACGACCCGGGGTCGAGTCGTCGAGTCGAGTCGAATCGTGATATTGTCGCTCGGCGTCGGGGAGGCGTCGATCTGATGGCGCGCAGCACCGAACGTGCCTACAGTTAGTAGCCTGCGCTGCAGCACATCGGGCCCCGCGCTTGCGTCGTCGGCGGCGTCGATCTAGCCTCGCCTTAGGCCGACGATCGCAGGCGTGATCTTCAGCGTCGACTCGACTCGTTGTCAGGCCGCCACCCGCCATACCGACCCCTTTTCTTTGGGTCGCTGCTGCCACCGGGCCGCCCGCCCGCTCGCCCGCCAAGCCCTGCCTCCGCCTGTAGAGCTGCCAGGCCCGACCGCGCCATCAGGAGCGATGCTGTGCGCCACCTGTCGTCGTCGTCGTCGCGGCGTTGCTGCCGTGGGCCCTCGCGATCTGCTCAGGAGAGCACGCACGCACCTTACGTCTGCCTCCACACCGACTAGCGGCCATGTCTGTCTGTACCGTACCGCAATCGTAGACCAGCCAGCCAAGATCGAGCTCGACAGCGCCGAGGTCTCGCTAGCCAACCCGTACTGTAGCGCGCCAGGAGCCTCGCCAAGGTCAGCGAACAATAAGAATAATGATCCTCGCTCTGGCCGCTCAGACAGGCCAGAAGGCGAGATCCGAGCCGGCCACAGCCGTAAACAAAGCGCTTTGCGAAGATCACGCACCGCCTTGCTTCGGTCGGTCGGCCGGGCTAGCGTTGCCGAATCGCTGGTACCTACTGCGCGGAGGGACGTCTGCTGCCGGCCACAGCGCTCGAGGTCATGGTACCCTGCGTGCTGCTCTCGGTCGCTCGCGCCATGCGGCATCACACGCTCGCCGTCGTTGCGCTTGGCCTCTGCCTCTGCCTCCGCCTCTGCCTCGCTCGTCAGGAGGCCCACGCATGCTGCGTCCGTGGCACGGGCCCGGGCGCGCCGTGGAGGAGCGGCGAGGCGGTCGCGGTGATCACCCAGAGGGTTGGGCCCCCTTTTCGTCTCCGACGCAATCGAGTCGTCATAGGCACGCAGCCGGGGAGGTGGCGTCGGCAACGCTCGCCGAGCCGCGCCTGTTCCAGCAACGTGCCAGGCAGGGGGTCGGGAAGCGTTGCCGATCCTCGTTCGGACGGCGGCTGTCGCAACACGAGACGAGACGAGGCGCTGCCGTCGATGGATGACCTTCGATCCGTGAACAGTCGCTGCTGTGGAGCACGACGAGTGGGCAGCAGGCAGGGTGGCGTGCTGCCAAAGCCAGTCGGGACGAGTCAGAACGTTGGCTCAAGTGACGTGGCGGAGCTTCCCCTCTGGACGGTCACGTTGCGTGCTTGCGGCGCTCAGGCTCGAATGAAAATCACACTACTTGGGTGCGTGCTGCCTGCGTCACCTGTCGGTGCCAGAGAATCAAGCAAGGCGCCCTGCGTGCACGCAAGCCTTCTCCGCGCTCGACGCATAATTGCTCCAAGGCGCAGCGCCTTCTTAGCTTCTTCCTGCCTGCCTGCCTGCCCCTCGCTGAATGGAAGAACGTGACCGCCGACGCTGGTAGGCACAACCTTGCACGCTTGGACCGCATGGGTTGACGACGCCAATCGGGCGCCGCTCTACCGTCGGTCGCACACCCTCTGAACAGACCGTGCTCAATCGAGAGAGCACTCGGGCGACGCCGAGGTGCAAGACCGCCTCGGAGTGGCACAATAGGAATCGAGACGCCACGCCGGTGGCTCTTCGAAACGCGCAAAGGGAGTACATAGTCGACGAACGACGGACGAACGGCCCGACGGGGAAGGGGCAAAGCATGAATAAATCCGCGGGCCTGGCCAGATAAGCTTCTTCTCGGCGGTTGGGCGACCGACACGGGACGACACCCCGACGTCCCAAGTTCTTGGCAAGGTCGAACAAAGCTTGCTTCTCATTCGGGGTTGCCAGTCGCCCGTCGCCCGTCGCCCGTTGGACTGCGGACGAACCACAGCGTGGTAGGTACGTTCTGTAGCGCCTCTCGCAGTCCGCAAGACCTTTCTTGGCCATATGGGATCGCGAGGAGTCAGGCGCTTCTTTAGCTCGCGAAAGGAGGCATCGACCGCGAGATGACCATATACAGTGCGCGGGTCGCTGCTTCTGCGCGATATGACGATCGACCCTAGTCGTCGTGACCTAGAACCAACGCCGTACATTGAGCTTGGTGGCCAGAGTGGCGCCACAGATGTGACCACGTCAGAGCGATACGAATCACAGCAGCGCGCGCGCTGTGACACTTCGGAACAAGGACGGACTTGGCCGAGCGCCACCACCGAAGCTCTCTGTGACCGTCCAGCAGGCACGCTCCGGCGTCTCGATCGGGCCCGCGGCCCTTGGTTCCAGCATGAATACGCCCGCGCCCGAGGCCGAGGACCGGCGAGGGTCGGGGGTTCGAGGGACGGGAGGAGAATCCTGCATCTACAGCCTGATCCATCACGTTCTATAAGGTGTATCACGCCGACACGTTGCGGAATGATTGGCCACTCGAACCAAGTCGCCGGCCGTCAACTGCGGCGCGCGCTCCTATGCCCTTTGTGCTGCTCCAGAGGGTCGCAGCACCGCGCCGCTGCGACGTGCGTGTGCTTCCAAGCTTCTCACTACTGGATCGCCGTACCCTTTGTCGCTTCCATTCATACCAAGCCAGCGCAACAAAGGGACACGAACTCGTGGGGCCCATCAGTACGGGCGGTCACCAGCTTCGCTGCGTGGTCCGAGGTCTGTGGTCGTTGGCCATCGTACGCGTCCTCGTTCGCCACGCTGCTGCGCAAACGAGGCCCCGACTGTTCATCTCGCGGCCGGTCCGTCCGCTCGCTCGCGCTTGACGAAGGGGCCGGACTAAGAAGTCGCCATTCTTCTGTCACCCTCTACCTCTGCCTCTTCGCTGCCGTCACGTACTCCGGGGGCGCAGCTCGTTGATTGGACCCTGCCTGCCTGGGGCTCGGGAAGGCGACAGAAGCTCGGCTCAGCACTTGCAGCCTGCTGCGCAACGCCCCTGCTTTTAGGTGCCTTGCTTAGGCTGTACGTACGCACGGAGCGCGCCTAGGGGGGGTCCTTGCTCGCTACGAAATAGGCTTCCGCAGCAGGTCTTCCAAGTCACGAAGATCGCCCTGCGCAGCCTGCAGGCAGGCAGCCGCCAAAGCGCAGCCAGCCAGCGTACCGCACAGCACTTCGTCCAACGCCGGAGCTTGGCGGCAGGGCGCTGCGCAGACGGATATCGCCGGCAATTTGCAGGCGATCCGTGCTCCTCGTCGGTCAAGGGCGGCGCAGGCGAATGAGCTTCGCCACCGAGATATCATTGGCCCTCGCTACACCACGGTCCTCGTCAGTCGCCTCGTCGTAGTTGCTGGATCGTCGGAGTGGTGGCGGTGGCGCTATCGGTACGACCGATATGACCTCCTCGAGCGGTCGCTCATTTGACCGCGCATATGTACCCCTGCACCAAGCACGATCAAGCTAAGCCCGTCACCGTACCGTATGGTACGGTCCGTAGAGCGAGAAGATCGGTCGTTGCCTCCGAAATGCGCCCAAAAGGCCTGTGCTCTGCACGCCTGGCGCCCGTCGTCGCCGTTTGGACCACCTGGCACAACGGCACCGTTCAAGCGCTCTTCACCGTCTAACGGTCCCTTTCACCAGGATCGACTCGTCTACACGACGCGACACTTCGGACTCCAACTTGACTCTCGGGAGGCGGAACAAGCAGCGGTCGCCCTCCACCGCGAGCTTTTGAAAAAAATTGGAATTTTCAAATTTTCTTCTTGTCTTCCCGGTCCGCCAACAGATGCACCTGCTCGACGGAGAGACGCAGCGGCCGTTGCTGCGGGCGGTGTGGTTGCGGCCTGGCCTGGCCTGGCCTGCTGCCCGACACGATCGCGGAAGCGGTCTGCAGCCCCTCGCCGACATCGGACGCCGCAGTGGATGCCTGTCCGCCGCCCGTCCGCAGCTGACGCCCCTGTAGACACGTACTCTGTCCATACCGGCCGACGCAGCCGGATTGCTGGTACAAACAAACGCTCGTACGGACAGGCGGGCGCAGCAGGTATTCAGCCAGTCAACCCAGCGGCTCGGCCCCTTCGCTTCATTTCGACGGCCTTTGCTCGCCGTCGTCGATGTCGTTGTTGTCGTCGCTGGCCCGGCAGGTGGCAGCATCCATCCACCGGGTTGGCGCTCCGCGCGTTGCAGCCAGATGTAGGGGCCGGCACCTCGCATGCGGACCGGCCTCCCAATGACGTCCGGACGTACATGTGCAGGTATCGCCGCCTGTCCCCTTCCTCCCTCCCGCTTCCCCTCCGAGTCTTCTTGACCATTCGCCGCCGAGCAGCAGGTGTATGGTGGGGGGACCCATGAATCGAAGCCCGCAACGCCAACAGTAGCGACCGGTCAACGTCTTGCGATCCGGCCGCCGCCTTCCCCTTTCTTTGGCGCTCCGAGCCCGAGACTGCCAAAGTTTCTATTTGCGGGATCGCTCCGACGCTGCGCACTGTATGTAGAGTCGACGGTGTCGATCCAAACGAACGGGCTCGGCGCGGCGACGGGAGTACGGCAGCGGGCCAGGTCGGTCGGTCCAATGAGATCGACATGCTGTGCTCGTGGCTATGCCCCTAAACGCCCGTGGTTGCTCTTCGATCTTCGTCGCGGTAGTCACAGTACGTCCAGACAGTCAGATGGTCGCGCTCGTCGTCTACTTTGAGCTCCCCATCAGTGCCGGATGCACGCAGTGCCAGCGTCGAGGAGGAGCTCTGGATGTGCGCAGCGAAAGAATTCGGGCCGAAGCCAGGCAGGCGTCCACACGGATGCCACCCTTGACAACGCCTCGTCAAGCACCTAGGTGGACGCAGGAAGGGCATCAGACGGATCTCGCATTCCGTAACTCAGCGGGCGGCAAGCGGCGGAACGGGCCGAGAGGCAGGGTACGGTGGGGATCGGTACGGTAAGTCGGCCCCACCGCAACGTGCAGAACCGATCACGGCAACGGCAACGGGGAATTGGGGTTCCGACAAAGCCGACCGCGAGCTGGCTTTGGCCTGGCCTGGCCTGGCGGAGCGGCCTTCGTCACGGACATACGAGGATTCGGGAGTCACCTCGTCAAGAAGCGAGGACGCTTCTGTCTTTGTCGGGCTGTGGTAAAGTACACTCGCTGCTTCCCCGTACCTGGCTGGCACATTTCGTACCGTAAGCAAGGTGCGAGCGGGATGGTCAGACGACTTGGCGTGACGCGGATCGCCAAAGACGCGATCGCAGCGAGGGCCCGCCTGGTGGCCCTGCATCTTCTTGCTCAACAGCTTTTCAGCTTGCTTGGCGCAGGGCGGGGCCGAGACAGGGACGAGTGGACGAGACAGCAAGCAAGCAAGCAAGGACCCGAAGATGACTCCGCCCCCCCGCCCATTCGCCGTTGATTGAGACTGGACGGCTGGATCCCGACTTTGGTCAACCGGAAGCCGTACCGCCGTGGTTGAAGGGGCTCGCCGACCACGATGCCGCCCGCGACCGTACCTATCACGCCATGTTCGAGGAGCAGCGTTGTGATCGTCTGACCTTTGACATCATACCCTCCCCGGCTTTGGCCATCCGCATCCGCATTCGCATCCGCGTTGTTGTCTTTCGACCGATCGGGCCGAATACCTACGATTGCGGAGCAGGCCGGGCGGTGCAGCAAGCTACAGAAAGCGGTGCAACGAGGTCAACGACCCACCTCCTTGAACATCGAGTGCGACGCTTTGTTCGAGGGTGCACCCTTCGCCTTTGGCCCCCACCCCACACCGCCCCGCCCGTCGGGATGCCGTGCCGGATCAAAGAGGTCGGCGTGAAGAGGGCAGGCAAGGAGGTTGCTTGGCAGCCCATCCAGCCAGGCTGCGGGTGCAAATCGGATCTGCTTCAGCCGGGCCCACCTTTCGGCCGAGTGCAAGCTTCGTCAGACGACTCGGCGTCGCCATCCTCGTCCTCCTGGCCCCTCACGCGGCCTCGTGCCATCTTGGCATCCTCACTCGCTTCGACAGAAACGAGCGACACACAGAGGTCGAGGAAAGATGCAGCGATCAGAGCAGACTGGGGTTCGATGAGGTCGAGCGAGAGAGGGCATCACTTGAGGAGGGGTCTAGGTATTTGTACAATTGTGCAAGGATCGCAGAATGGGGCAGCAGGCAGAGGCGCGGGGCGCGCTCAGGCGCCGGGGCCAAGGGGCGAGAACGAGAACAGACGGCCGTGACGATGCTTTGCGGCCGAGATGGTACGGATCGGAAACAGGTCGTGGGAGCTGCGTAGTGGAACGAGGAAAGTCGACCTGCGACCGTCGCTGGGCCTGCGCCGGGCGCCGGCGAGAATGCGAGGTTCGTAGGAGAGTCTTTGCGGAAGGGCGCTCAAATTAGGTGGAAGCCGAGATTGGCGACTGGGTATGTGATGTGTCGGGCTGGCGCAAGCATCGGGAGGGAACAAAGGGGGCGATAGGGAGCGGGGCGAGGCCATCAGGAGCAGCGGCATCGCCCGCCTCAGGCGGCGGACCAGTGGTTGACGACGTTCTGTCCTCGACGGACAGCTCCGAGGTCGTTGGCCATGGTGCAGCACATCGGACTGTCGACGTTGCCGGAGGCCAATGCCGTCGCTGAAATGGACGGTCCGCAGCTAGCCGTGGCGAGTGATGGCGAGGAGCCGAACTCTCGCACGACGCTGCAGCAGGGATACTGCCCACGGCAGTGCTGGTCCGCCGATGTCTGCCAGAGAAATCGACAGGCAACGGGCGGCGCTCGTGGTGGCATGGGCTGCGAGGGCTGCGCCGGTGCCGCTGCAAGCGCCATCGTATCGATGTTCAGGGTGGCAAAGTTGGAGCCGCCGCCGCCGCCGCAGATGCGGGCCAGCGCCAGATCCAGACTCTCGCCGTGCCTGCCGCGGGTCGCTGCAGATCTCATGGCCAGCTCCGAGAGCAGCGAGAGGTTCGAGAGGTTCTCGCACGCGCCGTTGGGACTCGACTGCTCCGAGTCGCCCTTGGACGAGGACGATAGCGTCGGAGAGCCGGGTCGGGTCGAGGGCGGCGAGAATGCGCCCGCGAATAGGGCGTTCTCCCGCTCGACAGCCTCGACCGGCGACAGAGGACGCGAGAGGAGCGCCTCGGCGAGGGGATTGCCTTCCGGCTCTGCCAGCGGCGTGACGTTTTCGTCTTGGTCATCCTCTTCGTCATCGTCATCGTCGTCGTCTTCGGCATCGCTGTTGTCTTCGACCAGCGCGGGCAGCTCCTCGGACGACACGCTGCCCGCCAGCATCGCCGTAGATGGGTAGGGGCAGATGTATGGGTAGCCCAGCCGGGGTCCAGAAGCGGTCGAGGAGGAGGGCGAGCGCCTCTCCGCAAAGCCCGAGTCGAAGGTGGACACCGCTTCTGCACCCATCTCGAGCTGGGCGACCTCATCAGCAGCGACAGAGTCCTCGTCCGGAAGCTCAACGGCGACGAAATCGTCGTCGTACTCGATCGCGGTCGCCTCTTCGTCGTTTGAGCCCAGCTCGCTCAGCAGGTCCTCGAACCACTGCACTTCTCGCTCGAAGTGCTCGCGCGAGCTTGTCGACGGGCGGACCTCGGGGCCGTTTTCGGATCCGCTGAGGTGCGTCTCCTTGCTTGGGCCCGCTGACCGGATCGCCAGCCTGTCTTCCTCGTCGCGACGAAGGGGTGGGTGAACTCCCTGGGCTCCCAGCTCGCCTCGCAGAGCCTGCTGCGGCTCGTCAAACGGGGGCCTCGGAGACAGCCTCTCCCGCTCGAGGCTCGACAGCATGGCGTTGCGCACGAGGACGCTCCTGCGCAGCCCTTCGCCGGCGGATTCGTCGAGCCGAGAGGACCTGCGCATGGCGGTGGATGCCAGGTAGACCGATGGCGAGGTGGACGGCAGTTCCGAGTCGCTGAGGTGCGCAGCTTGTGTTGCAGCGCCGGGAATGGGGCTGAAGACGGATCTGAGGCTGACGGGCGGGCCCCAGTGCAGGCCTATCTCCTGACCGACGTTGTCACTTGGCATCCGTTCTTGTGGCGACGGCGGGCGCTCTGCATACAGGTCGGCGCTGCCAGCCTCTGCGAGCGAGGCATGGCTGAAGAGGCGGCGGAGGGGCTCCATCGTGGTGACCTGGGTGCGCGAGAGCGCTGGCGGAGATCGGTGAATGCACAAGGCCGAGCCGAGCTGGCTGCCGGGGGAAAGGATCGGGAGCTTGCGCGGGGTTCTATCCGGACCCGAGTAGGAGGGGGGACGATGAAGCACGCTGCGGGTTGGAAGCGCAGAAGGAGGTGGGGAGGAAGTGCGGTGGCTTGACAGAGCGAGATGGCGTAGTTCCAAGGGGTGGATCGAGAGGTCAATGGGGCGTATGACGGGTGATCATCTTGGAATGGATACGCTGGACCGGGCGGTATCTCCTGAGCTTGGGAGAGACGACGGCGGGTACAGTGCGGGATGAGCTTGCTCAATGGATGTGAGGGCGAAGGTCAAGAGGGTGCGAGGGCAGCCATGTCCTTGTGTTGGTGAGCACGGCGGGGTGCGGCAGAGGAGATTACTGAGGTTGCGGTTGCGATTGTGGTCTCGGGGCGGGGACGAGGAGTTGCGAGAGGCGGAGGAACGCGCGGGCTGTGTGCCTTAGAGGGAGGAGTTCATGGTTGGCGATGTGACTGCGGTGGTGTTGGTGGTGGTTGTGATTCGAGTGTGGTGATGGTGGTGGGGAGGCGTAATGAAAGAGGTGGAGCGGGCAGCGCCCTTTTGGGGGTCCACCGTCCAAGCAAGCTGATATGGCAGCCGTCCCGAGGTGCGGGCGCAGTCGCAGGCGCAGGCAGGCGCAGGCCGAGCAGAGTCATGCAGCGCAGGGCAGCGCAGGGCAGGGCAGAGCAGGGCAGGGCAGCGCAGGGCAGCGCAGGGCAGCGGTGCGCCTGCTTTCTCCACCTCTCTCCACACCAAAAAAGTTGAGGGCGGGCAGGCCTGGCCTGCAGCGCGGCGCCAGAGGCAAAAGGTGCCGCGCGCCAAACCAAGCAGCAGCAGCGCAGCGCCCAGCAGCTCAGTGGCCAGCTGAGCCGGGCAGGGTCCCCTCGCTGTTTTGGCGTGACTAACCCCCCCCCCCCCGCCCGCTCNCACCCNCNCGCNCNCGCCGCCTCGCGTCACGACGCGCGCGCGCGCGCGCGCGCGTCGCGCGCNCGCGCGCGCGTCGCG